TATATATATATATATATATATATATATATATATATATATACACATATGGCACCTTCTTTTTAACTACCATAATTTTTGGACTATAAACCGCACCTGAATAATAGCCGCAGAAGCTAAATTGCATGATTTGTACAAATACAAGCTGCACCGGACTATAAGCCGCAGGTTATTTATGTTTACACACAAATTGTCTTGCGCTCGCAATGTCCGTCTTTCTCGCTGTCGTTCTGTCTCGTACCACTCGCGGTAGAAGTCTGCTTCCGGAGGACCTCCGCATTCCCGCGCGCGCGGCTACCGTATTTGTGTGTTGAAGCAAATATGACATCAACATGGTGGATGGTAAAATCCATAGATTTAGGTATTACCCTAGCTGTAAAAGTCCATAGATAAGTCGCATTGTTATATAAGCTGCAAGGTCGAAAAATGGGGAAAAAGTTGCGGCTTATAGTCCGAAAATTACATCATTTAGCCAAAGTGACAAGTACATTTCTCCACTGTGAGATCAATAAAGTCTACAAATCAATCAATCAATCAATCAAAACATGAGTAAGCAAGCCAGATCAAGCAGGTCAACATAAGAGGGCACCCAGCATAACCGCAAACAAAATCCATAAGAAAATGTATTGGGTCATTAAAAACATGTGGTTTCTGAGGTAAAACAAATTAATGCAAATTATGCAATATAGTCCAACCCTTCTGACCTGAAAAGCTTGTACACTAGAACCAGTCGTTGGTTAACCCCATACAACTAAGTGGACCAAGTTCTAGAAACATTGGTAAATTAATTATTTGTATTTGGTTTCCTGATCTTTCTGTATTTTCCAGTTTTTGCAGTCATTGTTTAAGTGTACAAAGAGAAGTGTGTACCATTTAACTCAACAGAAGAAGGAATTGTATGGATTAAATCATATGGAGGAAAAATATATAAATCTGACCTTTTATTCATATTAGTTTCCATATCAGTTTAAATAACTGTGTATACAGAAGTTATGTTTTTTGAATAATCAATTATTTGAATAATAACTCCGTTTTATGATGATGTAAGGCATTACAACTTGGCTGTGATATACTCAAAATAAAGGAGCAAATATATCAACAATCTACCAATGAGGGATCTCCTTCCAAGGAGGCAAAAAAAAAAAAAAAAAAGCATACTAGATATGAAATCATGTTGGAACTTTCTATTGAAGCAAAACAGGATAGGGGGGAAAAAAAACAATAATTATTGCACTTACTTGTAACAATCATTGTTAAACTGATTGTAGCTTCCCAAAGCGGTTAGACTCCCCTGGCAAATGCCAAAAGAAAAAAGAACCTGTGCACCTGCATCCATCCAAACCTACGCATACATTAGCACAGAATCAGTGAAAATGCACTGCTGAAACTGCTGCAAAAGATTAAGGCTGATTTTTCTAAATTATACACTTAAAGTTTTTAACATGGCTCAGGCTTCCATTGGAAACAACTAAGCTGGAAGCTTTTCTTTGGCTATGACTTATTACTTACTTGAGGGTCCACCAACCTTGTAGGATCTGGATACAGGTAGAAAGCTAAGCCATCCATCGCTCCGGGTAGAGAGAGCCCACGGGCCAATAGAACGACTAACATCACATAGGGAAACGTGGCGGTAAAATACACTACCTGTCAATAGAAATGCAAAGATTAGTTTTAATTCTGATCTAATAAACAAATAATACAAGAGTTTTTGTTGATTTTACTGTATATGCTTTATAATTTGATTTAAACTTTTAGCACCAGATTGATGGAACCAGAACTCCACAAAGGAAAACATATTAAAAATATAAAGCAGTAAAAACAACATTTATATCATAATAAACAAGAGCAAGTATGGTACTATAAATACAATTGTAATTTTCTTTCAAAAGCAATATAACAGTAGCTATAATTTGCTTAATCTAACTTTAGAATATAACCTTATAAGTTAATCCAAGTGTTGGAATTTAAATTAGGAGCCCCTAACTTTCTTTAAGTGTGGGGCATAAATACTGTATTAAATGCTGTGACACAAAAGACATTTTTTTCACCATTCTTCAGAAAGGGAAATACAAAACACGTCATTTTGTTGTTTTTTTTTTCAGAAAAAATGTCAACGTGTAACTCCCTTAAACTTGCTTATGTTTAGTGTCAGATTAAGTACCTAAAAGGTTTAAATCTGCTGAAATATGAATTTCCCAATTATTCAGTATGGGAGAAAACAGCTGAAAAAAGATACATATGACATCTGTTCACCACTATTCAGGGGTCTTCATCAATTTTATTGCCTTGCACTAGAGAACTGACTAAGACAGAGAGACTTTTGGATAGGTGTTGAAACATCTTCAGAAAAACTAAGCCAGGGTTCAGTTGCCTCCAATCTAAGCTTGTTTTGTGATTGCCAGGATTTTCCCCAGCATGCTACATACACTCACAGCCACTTTATTAGGTACACTTGTCCAACTGCTCGTTAACACTTAATTTCTAAGCAGCCAATCACATGGCGGCAACTCAGTGCATTTAGGCATGTAGACATGGTCAAGACAATCTCCTGCAGTTCAAACCGAGCATCAGTATGGGGAAGAAAGGTGATTTGAGTGACTTTGAATGTGGCATGATTGTTGGTGCCAGAAGGGCTGGTCTGAGTATTTCAGAAACTGCTGATCTACTGGGATTTTCACGCACAACCATCTCTCTGGTTTACAGAGAATGGTCCAAAAAAGAAAAAACATCCAGTGAGCGGCAGTTCTGTGGGCGGAAATGCCTTGTTGATGCCAGAGGTCAGAGGAGAATGGCCAGACTCGATTTCTGCTGCCACATTTGGCGTCTACAACATGAAAGCATGGATCCATCCTGCCTTGTATCAACGGTGCAGGCTGGTGGTGGTGGTGTCATGGTGTGGGGAATATTTTCTTGGCACTCTTTGGGCCCCTTGATACAAATTGAGCATCGTTGCAATGCCACAGCCTACCTGAGTATTGTTGCTGACCATGTCCATCCCTTTATGACCACAATGTACCCAACTTCTGATGGCTACTTTCAGCAGGATAATGCGCCATGTCATAAAGCTGGAATCATCTCAGACTGGTTTCTTGAACATGACAATGAGTTCACTGTACTCAAATGGCCTCCACAGTCACCAGATCTCAATCCAATAGAGCATCTTTGGGATGTGGTGGAACGGGAGATTCGCATCATGGATGTGCAGCCGACAAATCTGCCACAACTGTGTGATGCCGTCATGTCAATATGGACCAAACTCCCTGAGGAATGCTTCCAGCACCTTGTTGAATCTATGCCACGAAGAATTGAGGCAGTTCTGAAGGCAAAAGGGGGTCCAACCCGTTACTAGCATGGGGTACCTAATAAAGTGGCCGGTGAGTGTATATACTGGTTAGTTTACTTATTTTAATTAACGATAGACTAATAAATTAGCTGGCCGATATTTTTGGCTGATTTTAGCAAATTTCTGCTTGTATTTGCATCAGCTGATATGTGCATGCCGATTTATTAAGATCATTCATTCAGCAGCCATGCCTCTACATCACTTCAAGTGCATGCATATCTGCTCCCTCCATCTACTATCTGTTGTTAGATTTTTGTTTATATTGAGCCTTATGTAACATGTGTTTCTGTTGTTATTTTTAACCATATAAATGGAGGAAGAGAACGCAATAACTGTCTAAATGAAATAAAAATCAGCAGCAGATATTAAGGATTGGTCAGACTGATGTTAAAATCATCTGTATCTGTCTTAGAAACACCTGTATCTATTGATCGCTACATTTTATACAATTTTGTAGCGATAATATTAAATGTGAAGTTTGTTATTTTATATACACGACAGTAAGATATGTGTTGTATTTGGTTACCTGTTGCTCGGCAGAACTTCATAAAAATGCCTCCTTGAAAATGGTCACAGCTCTTTAGGTCATTTTTAGGGAAGTTCAAACACCTAATCCTTTGGCCATTAGGGGTGTGCAAAATAATCGTCATGATGATGCATCGTGATTCTAATTTTCTTGATCTACTGCATCGATTCTTGACGCCAAGTATCGATTATTAATTTAAAAAAATGAGTAAAAAAAATTGCATGAATGGTTGGCGAACATCAGCCAAAAACAAGTGTAATACAACTTCCAGTCCAGTAGATGTCGCTGCGGATGTTTTGATGCACACTGCCTTGTGTCACAAGCATTTCTACTGCGCCGAGTCATTCAAAAACAAAACATGGAGGAGAAAATATTGCAATGCATCGCAATAATTCAAGTATCGTGATGCATCGTGATAGAATCACATCGTTATCTGTGAATCGTGTTTCGAATCGAATCGTGACTCCTTTGGCAATACCCACCCCTATTGGCCATGATATCCAAAATGCCTCCCTTAAAATAATACTTGTATACATTTCTTTCATTGTTGGTGTTGTTTTGTTTTTTCTTCATAGCTTGGCTTGTTTATCATGAGTTTAATGGGTCTATGTCCTTGAAATGTAATCTGTTTGTAATATGTGACTCCCTTAACTTTTGTCCCTTATTATTTGTGGCATACATTAATACTTGTTACCCTCTTATAAAGTCTTGTCATTCTGTGTGAAGACACCAAACATCGACACTATTATACCACATCCTCGCCTATCTGATCTGACATACACAGGGATATAATGTATGTCAGCACAAGTACAACAAAAAGCTGAAATTTATAAATCAGTATTAGACTCTTTAATTGCCTCCCCATAAATAGCCAGCTATTTTTAACCCTCTGCCTAATGGTTACAAATCATGACGTGTGTAGCAATTAATTGGCCCTTTATAAGCTTGCTTTTACGTTGAACCAGCACTGATACACTTAACATGTACAGAAAGGGAGAAAAATACATAACCTGGACAGGGAAGGAAGCATGAGGTAAAATCTGAAGGCCTGAGATGAAACACTCAATAATAAGAATAAAGCATTAAAATCCTTAAAAAACACACAGAAGGTCAGAGAAACCTTTTTATTTGGATGAGATAAAGGTTAGAGGGGTGATGTGGTTTGTTCACTTACAGCCTGATTATTGTGTGGGGTTACTAAGTCAGTTTTTATTTATTTTATTTCTTATTTAGATTACCGATTAAAGATGTGTTTTCAAAAATAATTTTAGGGAGCTTTTTAACAATCCTTAATATAATCAAAGGCATACAGGAAGCAGTCATATTGACAGTCAACATAACAACCTCAGCAGAAACAACACGCCAAGCCTCTCCATGAGATCTTACTGTAGGCCATGTGTTTCTGGTAACCATTTAAAGTTTATTATAGTTTAAGATAATTGTTATAGAAGTGCTCTGGATTTTCAGTTTGTCAGATGAGTACTACGTATTTATGCTTTCATATTACCCGAGTGCATGCAAAGTCCAACACATCACTCTTATCCATTTGTTTTATCCTTCCGACTACTGGTGGCATATTTCATTTGCTCTGATACCGGCTGTATGTTGTGCGTTCATGGCAACAGTTCCCAATGGTAAAATACCACGCCCAGAATTAGCTTCTCTTGTTTCTGTTCAGGCAAGTGAAATTTTACACAGTAGTAGAAATACAGCCTAAACCATATTTTAAAGTAGCTTTTTTGGGGGGTTGTTGGTTTGTATCCGTTATAATATGTAGGAGAGTCCGCTACAGGAGGAAAAATGATCATTGGATAGTTTAAAGCAACAAAAAAAGGCTAAAACAATCAACAATGGTATAAATAACCACAAAGCATTTTATAGTATTTAAATTAGAGGTAACTTTACCTTTCCAGTAGATCTTACTCCTTTCCAAACACAAAAGTAGCAGATAATCCATGCGAGTAATAGGCACAAGACCAGCTCCCATCTTAAGCTACCAATTTCCTCAATCCCCTGAGTAATGCCCAGAACTCTTCTCCTAAAAAGATAAATATATGTATAATGTTGCAAAAAGAGGACTTACAAAAATGTCTTAATCATAAATAGCCCTATAATCTAAGTACAGCTATTATACAGATATTAAATAATTTATTTACAATAAACAAAAAGTAACAGATTTAAAAAAATCCCACCATTTGTTAAACAAATAAACACGTTGCAAAGCAATACAAAAAAAGTTACAATCAGAATTAATTGCAAAAGGCATCCTAACACCATTATCATTTTCATCATTTGTTTTTTTAATAGAGAATCGTTAAATGGGGAGTATACCTTAATGTCTGTTGTAACCTGTTCTAAACATATTTTCAATGTTATTCAACCACTGGAAGTACTCTGTGTGCAGACATTTTGGCTTATTTTCAAATCTGCAACAATAAAACAGGCTTCAAACCGCTTATTTATTTAGTTGCTGGTTTTTATTACCCCAACTGCAAAAACAGAGATTAAAGGAGTAAGTACTATAGAGCTGTTTACACCAGGTTCTGAGTCAGAGGTCATGACAATGTGTTCTCATTACCTCTTTTTTTTTTTTTTTTTTTTTATATATTCCATCATAATGTGTTACATGAGTAAGTTGCAGGCTGCTATTCGTTGAGAAAAGGACTTTGGAAAGAAAAGTAATATCATTTCGATAATGGTAAAGAATGAGCCTAAAAGGAAATATGGTTGATCAGCATCTTTCTAATCATCCATATACTTTCATTTACAATGTTGCTGAAAAAATATACCCACATAATTTAAAAGTTCCCACTACAAAAAAAAAGTAACCAGTGCTTTGTGAAAGTAGATCATAGAAAATGTTTAGCACAGGAAGCTTTTCCTAGAATTTAAAGGAGTAGCATATTAACATTTCCTAAAGCCATTACCTTTATAGTATGGGCGATGTTTAGTATCTGTCCATTGATTTTTTTTAAAACCATTTTGAATAATAGTTATTTTAATGAGAGAGTCCCCCACTAATTATGTACTATAATTTAAGATTCTGAAAGATAAAAAGTATTTAAAAAAGATGCTACATTACATTTAAATGTGGACTGTAGGCAGAATATTTGACCACATCCCCATTATCGCTGTAGTCCGCAATTTACTGCCCTTGTAGACATGGACTCAGCAAGAAAACTTGCCTGATAGTGTTCTGTTTAAAAGAGGTGTTAAAAGCAGATCCTTAAAGTCATGCAAATTGTAAGATGTGGTCAACATGACCTGTTTCTTCAGCATATCTCTCATACTGAACTAATTCTGGGGATACTGAGAGATAATTAAAACCCTAAGCTCATTTTATGCTACTTAAATCATTCCTGAACTATTCACTGGTTTGTGGAATGAATAATTATTCTGCTGAGAGATGCTACAATCATCAGGAAATACAGTTTCAGCATAAGGTGTGAGCTTGGTTTACATATATATGGGGATATGTCAAAGTAGGGTAGTGGTGGCCTATTGTTTAAGGCATATACCTTGGAATCCTGACGTTCTGAGTTTGAGCCCCACTCCCACAGACTGCCACCCTGGGTCCCTAAAAAAAGACCCTTAACAGTGTAATGACAATAAAAAAGCTGAAAAAGTAGCAGCCATACAGATGGCAGTAGCCAAGGTTGTAGAGCAGACCAACATCTAAAACCTCCCAGGACTTTCCATAGTTTTTCATCTTCTAATAGTGCATCCTGGTCTAATGTGTGGCCTAACTAACACACCCAGCCAACCATGTAACATTTTTAATTTTTTTTTAACATATTTTATATTTGAGGTTCAAAACAAGCAAGAATGCACTGTGTGTATTCTGTCACCTCTTTATTAGAACCCTTTTTGCCCTGACTGTTAATAAGCCATGGCCACCAATGACTGCTTTTGAAAGATATTGACCAAGCTGAGAATAGCCTATAACAGCTAAAGTTTTGGACAAGCACTGACTCAAATGTCTGGCCATTTGGACACAATAAACAAGAATTTCTTAAACTTGTTTCCAGCCTTAAACACATCAACATTGTGGAGAAAATGATCACATGTTGCCTTTAAATATGTCACCCACTAACAAATTAATTGCCAAAGTAATTAAAGGTGCATTTCAGTGGTTATAATATTATAGGTGATCATTATTAGAAGCAGTTTGTTCTTCAAAGTGTGTGACATTCTTCCATTTATGCTATAGATGTTCCTTACAGTCATTGTCATGTGATGGGGGTCTAGAATACACCAAACAATACATAAACGTAAATGTACCATGGAAAAAAATGGTGTAATGTTTATTCATCCAAAACAGGATTCATATATATTCAAATGCCACATTACATAATGTAAAATGAAGCTCAAGTGAAGATTCAATGTGGAAGACTCACCTGGACCACCTGCTGGTTTACCTCATTTAAGCTCCATCCAATCAACGTCGAGACCACACCCCCTCTGAAGCCAGCTTCGCTCCTTAACAGCAGACAAACTTTCACCCATCTCCGCCCAATCTCCTCTATCACTCTCAGGCTACGATCACACTGCAGGCCTTGATGCTCAATTCCGATTTTTTTTTTTGTGAAAGTCGATTTTTTTACGTTGCTGTCCATTATTCCAAATATATGCGACTTCTATGTGATCTCCTGTGTGAACTGCAGTCAAATAACGCAAGTGTCCCGCATGCACAGGAGAGGATGCAATGACGTCACAGGCCAGCGTGCTCTTTTTTTACGGAAGTAAACATGGATGTTAGTGCTGGCGCGCAACCAGCGGACTCTTCCAACCATAAAACCACAATCTTTTCAAAATGGTTAAACATAAATACTGCTCTCTGCATCATCGTCTTCCATGGTTGTTGTTTTTCTTGCTGCTTCTACGTAGCAAGATGCATAATAATGACCTTTGTCGGGTATTAATGACCTTCAGGTCAGATGAATCCGACCTGGCCGTTTAGACATAGGTCGGGTTTGAAAAGATCAGATTCGTATTGGATTCAGGACCACATAGCCAAGTGGCCTGGGTGGGATTGGAAAAAATTGGATCTGTATTGTTCAGACTGCCATGAAAAGATCAGATCCAGGTCACATATGGGCAAAGAAATCGGATTTGGGTCACTTCAGGCTGCAGTGTGAACGTAGCCTCAGACTATTCTCAGTCCCACTGATCCTCCAGTCATGAATAGCAACTTTAAGTTGTCAAGGTTGTCATTACTCCAAAATTAAATCCAATGTTCATCTCTGTGTCTTCGTGAATATCCAAGCCTCTCTCCATTTCAGTTCGCCTGCCACAGTACCTTGGCTGGCTGCTTGTACTAATCTCCCAGCTCCAGCTTGGACTCATCCCGACTGTCTCACCCTAGCCTTCTCCACTGGCTCACCCTAGGTGCCATTCCACCGCCTTCAGCCTAAATTTCTCGACCTTTTCATCCGCCAACAGCTCACCAGCGACTTCTGTCTCCTTTTATCCTCACTCATCAACTCCATGAACAAGCTTAACTGTTCCGTTACATCTATCTCCACTTACCTGCTGGGGCTCTTGGCTCCTGGCTCGGCCACTCCTATATATTCTATGTGTTCTGCTCAAACTGTCGTTCAGCACGCAGCCCATCCCATCTGCCTTCACCCTCGCAGATACAGTACCCAACACTGATCTAACCTAAGTGAGATGTATCTTTCCCAAGGCTCCCTCTTCTTATGTCTTCCTTCATCCCCATTCTATGTTTCCGCACTCTCTTCCTTAGCATACATTCTCCTGCATGCACTCATTGCTCCAGTAAAACAAAAATAAAAAATGTCAATCTGTTGCACAACTACTTCCTTTGCCAACCAGCGCATCATTCAGTAGTCCAATATTTTAATCCTCTGATCTTTGCCCTTCCAAGAAACTTTCTATTCGTGATTTTAAACAGCCATTGTGTTTACACAGATGTCATCTGCTCTGTTTACTAAGTAGAATCAAGCTCGAATGATTTGCTTTTATTATCAATGCGGAAGGATTGCCTGCATGTTTGCTTTTTAATGAGAAGTTGTCAAATATTAAAAGGAGTGATTTGGAAAGGCATTTCCAGGGAAGGCATCCTAAATTTGCAGCTGACCGCCCTATTGGGAGTGAGAGAAAAAGTGTGATTGCAGAACATCTGGATAAATTATAGGAATGCAAAGATAGATTTAAGTAGTAGATTACATCTCCAAACTCCCCTACTCCTGTTATTGTTGTTGCAACCCAAGAAATAATAAAACATGGAAAATCGTTCACAGATAGAATAGGTAGCACTCTAATACAGGTATATGAAGTCTCTTTCATTCTCCTTTCAAATCCTCAAAATGGAAAAAATTATTTTATGTATTTCTTTAATGTATTTCTATAATTTCATCAATGCAACAAAACAAAGTACATTGATATTGTTAATATTAGGATTGGTTATTATATATTTAAATGGGTCAATGAATGATTATATAGGGTATTTGGTGCTGGTGAAAACGGCATATTTGCTGTTCTATGAGCCCTAATGCAAGCCGCCCAGTTATAAGTACTAGAATGAAACGACAGGTTTTCTTCCTTTTATGGTATGCTCATGAATATTTAGATGAGCTGTGCGCTGATTGGTTGGTTTACAACGAGCAAAGCTGCTGAGTAAAGACGCATCATAGCAACAAGCACTCACTCACTGAAAAATCAAATTGTTCATATGATAGGGTGACCAGACATCCAGAACAAATGGTTCTGGCATGTACAAAAGTACATGCCAGAACCAAATAAGGACCAGAATCAAATAAGGCAACATCCCCGAGTCAATTCGTGGTTTGGAATTGCCAGTTTTTTGGTAGAAGTTTGGAATTGTGAAATTTGCAGAGAAAGGAGGTGTCGATGGGGTTGTACGTCCATTCACCCACTGAACTATCATTATTTATCTATGACAATGTGAACTCAGTTTTGCATTCTATGACCCCATTAAGCCCACATAGTCATTTTGATAGTGTGCTAATACACTACGCCCGGGTTGCCTTAGAAGGCCTATATAAGACTTATACATTTTTGCGGCTCCAGACAGATTTGTTTTAAGCTTTTTGAACAGTTTGGGTTGCCGACCCCTGCTCTAGGTTAACATGCGCATCAAATGAGTGGTGTTGGTAAGCCTTCATCATTTCCGTCAGCCCTTTGTCTAACCATCTTATCTCCTGTTTCTTTTTATGCCACTACATGCACACAGTTCATACCCCATCTTCACCTTTACAGGCACTCATTTTATAATCATCTCCACATCCATAAATATCACTGCAATTATCGCTAACACCAATGCGAGCACATCACGACAGCGCATCTCCATAGCACACATTGCCACAGCGCTCCATGGGTGAATCATCAGCACATCACTGCAGCATTGCAGCTCAGCAGATCATCAGAGCAGTACATCATCAGTACATCACACTGCAGTTCATCATCAGTGCATCACCTCAGCACATCATCTGCACAACACTGCAGTATTATCAGCACATTATCAGTGCATCATAAGCATACATCCAACTCAGCACTTCATTAGCACCGTACCTCAGTGCATCATCAGTACATCATACCTCAGCACATCATCTGCGCATCATACAGCAGCACATCATCAGTGCATCAGATCATGGCAAGTGAATCACGGTGAGAGGGCCACGGCAAGCGCATCATGGCTAGCACGCCATGGTGAGTGCATCACCACAGCACATCATGTAAAGGGTTTCATGCCCAGTGCATCACATCAAAGGCATTATGCTTTATGCATCACGCATTAGCTTAATCATCATTTTCATCCGTGCAGTGATTCTCCTCCCTCCCCAACAAGCATTAATTTTCTCAATCCCTAAGGGCTTAAGCCACCCTCCATTGCTTGCCGCTAACCAGAGATTGTTTTTGATAGCTCGCCCCACCTCTTTTTGTGGGAAAGACTACTCTAATTCTTTTCCTAAACTAAACATCCAAGCATGTAAATTTGAAGCACCAAAGTGTTCTGCTGGATCTGAGCTCCAAAAAACTTATTTCATTCATGTCAATATAATGTTTGTAATTCCAGATTTTCTCTGCGTGAGCCTCCCAGTCTTAAAATACCTTTAAATGGATAATTTTAGGTTTTTTTGGGGGGGTGTTTACCCATGAATATAAGGAATTTATTTATATAAAGAAATGTATAAAACTTAATATAAGTATTTCTAGGGGTTGTATGGCCATTTTTGCTGTTGCAAGCTGATACTTTTGGAAAACCCTGATTTATGCAACATCAACACATTTAAGCACCTTTTGTCATGGGTGCTTAAAGAGTGTAGCTATGTTCTTGAACTACTCACGTTACACAGCAGTGCCAAGTTTTATGTTTGGTATGAGCAAACAAAAAGGCTAAACAGCTAAAAGTTTGTTTTTTATTTCAGCTCCATGTGCACATTGCGTAAAGTTAATTGTTCTTATCTTATCCACTCTTACCCTACCAAAAAGATTATTTGTCCCAGCCTGCTCGTTACTGTCCTGAAGGTCATAAAAACTTAAATTGTGATTCTACATTGTCCAACTTGTAAGCAATGCAGCTGACTGTTAAGAGATACCACCTGTTAAGAGACCACCAAGATAGAATAGTGGCGCTTCATATGGACAGGATTTGGTAGTTTGCCCAAGTTTCGATGCCTACAGGAAAGACAACATACCTAAAACACGGCAGACTAATCAGTATTAGCAGGCAGGCATGAATTACACTTACTCCCAGAACTCGGTTGCAGGTGTTGTTGCATTTGCAGCTGCTGTCCAGTTGGATGACAAGTTTTTCTTATCAAATTCAACACAAGATTCTGATTAAAGAAAAAAATCAATCAAATAAGTGTGCAATGCACTGTGTATTTGAGATATATATATATTCATATATACAGTATTAAATCTATCTGCAGTTTAATTCAGGAAGGTAATAAATTGAAAGTCAAAAAATTAATTCTTCAGGGTTTTTTTTTTTTTTTTCAGAACCAGATAGGATATCATCAGCTCTATAATTCTGATTAATACTGGTAAATTATTTTAATCAAATGTTTTGCTCTTTTTCACATCTACCTGTGTTCCAGGAGTTCCTGCAACTGGCCCATGGTACCTCAGCACTGAAGGAGGAGAACAGGTAGAGAAAAGCCCATGCCTGGATGACAATGTACGACACAGCAGCATATGCAATCACTATCTGGGTGGCATATCCGATACCTGAAGACACAGAAGGGATCAGCATGGATGACTTTGTCTAAGCTGTCAGTCCTAACAACTTTATCCGTCATTAGAGCTGCAAGACTAAGCTGTTACACACATAACAATCAAATCTGTACATTTTTAAAAATGAAAAACGTTTCATCCAAATACTTTAACCCTTGTTTCTAAGTACGATACTTCTTTAAATATATATAGCTTTTATTTCTAAATAACTATAAAAGATGAGACTGTGCAGAAAATTACAAAGCAGGAAAACCATTCATCGCATTGCTAATCCCAGTAGGCTTAACTGACCAAAGTAATATATTATTAAAGTAGAAGGACATAAAAAGACAATTTCACCTCCTGTTGCGTTAACCAGCAGCACGCTAACTGGCATTTACAGTGTCCTCTGAAAATCTTAAGTTGTTGAATTTCTTTTTATATTTTTGTTTTTATCAATCTGCCCATTTTAATTTTCTCCAGAACTTTATCCATTACATGCACGTTGGCTTTCTATGACTTCATGATCTATATGGAACAATTTTAAGACTTTGAAATTGAATTTAGCTGTATAGGCAGGTTAAGATTTATTAATACACATTCAAATTTGATCATAGTTATGATAAATTGCAGTCAAGTTCATTTTGTTGTATAAATGGGCAAAAAAAATCTTCACAAATGTTATATTTAGTTTTAGTGTATAACCTATATTTCTAACAAAAAAATCTATAATAAACATGATTATAAAGCAGTGTATTATTACTCTAAATAAAATCATGTACCTGCATGGACCTTCAGTAAACAAATCAACTATGCAGTAGACTTTTCTGAGAATTGAAAGCCCTGACCATGTCCTGTTTAGACATCACACATTAACACAGTGGTAAGAAACTGCTTGCACCTAAAACTGCTACACCTGAGCAGGAAAAAGTCCTTATTTGCCAAACCTATCAATCATCTGGTGTGTGTGATTAAGTGGTGCATTCTTGAAAGACAAAGTTGGCACTTTAAAGTTAAATGATATCTGGCCCTTAGGGAAACTCAGGTTTTAATCAGACGTAACACATTGAATCTTCTGTACTGTTTTGAAGCTTTCAAACATTTCACATTTAATTAAGTAGGTTTGTGGCTAATAATCTGTCACATGCATCAACAGACAGTTTGCTATGTGTACTGTAGAGCTTCATCAGATTTGTCAGAGTTCACGCGTGCTGACTTTTAATCATAGCTTAACAATGGACAATTGTGCTTTTGTTGGAAACTTCTTTTGCCTGTTAATTTGCGAACAAACAAAAGATTCTTTGTTGTTCTCATGTGAGCCTCTGTATTTAGGTTACTTGGACTTGAAATCCACTTTTGATGCCCAGTGATGGGAGCCTTTCATAGATCTTTCTATATTAAGTGTATTTGACTGTAGGTTTAGATTAAATTTAAGTTAATGAATATTACTTTAGATTATGGCGCTGTGTCTAGACAAACCAAATCCCTGTTCATTGCCCTGATTACAATGTTGTGATAGCCTATTACACAAGTGGAAACATGAACTGAGATTGTGATTTATTTTTTAAGGAGTTGTTACTTTATTATTATCATTGAGTAAAAGTTTTCTCTCCAAAAACTGAAAAAGACACTCATTGGGATGCTTTTTTTTGTGTGGAAAAAATAGTTTTAATGTGTTAATCCAATAGTAAGTAGGGGCAAAAGAATACCAAGGAACACAGGTTGTTAGTGAAACAAGGACATGTATTTAGTAAAATGACTACTTTTATAAATTAAACCGCTTCAAGAAGCTTAGCAATATCAAAATGTTTACATAAAATTTTGCAGACATATGTTTTCTCTTCAAGAGGAAAAGGTAGGTGTGCATATCCATTCACTCTCTTAATGCTAAAACCTACCATAAAATTGCACCAATTCAGAATTTACCCCATGGAGTCAAAATGTTATCATACAGTACATTTCCAGGCTTGTTAGAGATTATTGGTGAACAACTTTGCAATTATTTGATTATGCATAAGAAAAGGTCTTTTCTTGAAAGTTGTGGAGAAGTTTAAATCAGGACTATCTCATAAAGCATTTTGATGGACATTGAACGTATCACAGAGTGCCTGCCACTATGTCATTCAGAAACTGAAATAGTCAAGCACAATTGTAAACCTATAAAGACATGGTTATGCAGACTAATGGAAAGTCTGGAAATATCGACAATTGATTAGCTTAGCTACAAATAGCTCTATGGATACTCCTTTCTGTAAGCAGGTCAGTTGTGTGGTGAAAACTGCACATCACCCTTAAGACACCTTCTCAGTTGTAGGAGCAACATTATGCGAGAAGCTGGTCAGAGCTGATGGGAAGATGGATGGAGATAAACACAGGGCAGTCCTGGAAGAAAACCTATAAGATGCTAAAAAACACTTACCAGTGGAGCAGAGATTCATCTCTAAGCAGCACATTTCTAACAATGCAGCCATAGTTACATTAATTAAACCATATTTGGGTCAAAGTGGCCACATCAAAGTTAAAAGTTAAAACCTACATTAAGCAAAGCTATTGTCAACAAATTCTATTTAACCAATCAGATTAAGCTTTAGCTAGATTTGCAAAGTGGGTAGGTGCCCAGCAGCAGCACAAGGAGCAACAAAGGGGTTGTAGAAATAAAGCAGGGGGAGCCATTTACAGAAGCTATTAGCAATCTGGGGTTGGATCCCCAATCTTAGTTCTATTTCTACATATGTACCCTCTTTTTTTTTGCTATTTGTCTGTAATAACACTTGATTTAAAGGCACTTGTGCCACAAAAATGTTTTTCTTTTGAAAAACAGTGTCTAAAAAGCATTTCCTCTGAGTGACTGAATCCAAATGTATCGTGGTTTTTTTTTCCAGACAAAAAACATGTAGCCTTGGACCATTTTTCGTCCAATTCACAACTGCCTTTTATTTTTCTATTAAGTTATGATCTTATGATCTTCTTCACAACTGATGAGTAGAAAGAAAGAAAAATCAAAATTAGTAAAATACTTTATATATATATATATATATATATATATATATATATATATATATATATATATATATATATATATATTTAGAAGAGGGTCCTATTGTTAGGACTGGATGCAGTGGGTTGTAGTTTGCCCCTGTGAAAAACAGACCTTCAAACAGGGGACAGAAGTGCCTCCAGCAGGTTATGCACCCCTGAGATGTGTATTGTCCCATTGCCGTCTCAAGGAGGAACATCGGGATGCCACACGCAAGCAGAAACAGGACGTACGGAATGAGAAATGCACCTAAGAAAAGAAAAAGTTAACCTGATAAACTGGTTAAGATATTTTAAGACAAGCCAAGGGAACATTACACAACTCTATAACTAGTTTTTCCTCACTTCAAGTTCTCTGTCATGAGTGAGAAATCTGATTTAAAAACTCAATTATTTTTGTATAATGTCATTCAAATAAATTGACATGGCCATGTTTTTATCTTTTCTTTATTTACATTAATTAAAAGATTTTTTTGGTCGACAACAACAATAAGAGACTTTTCTCCCATTTAGTTACCTTCTCCCGTCTTTTCTTTTTCAGTTCATGAACTTAATCAAATCAAAATTAATTATCTTAATCTAAGAGATATAGACAATATCAAATATAAGTCATGAAATCAGCTTCCAAGAGCATGTTTAGAAACACTTTTAACTAAGTTTGGCTTAAATATTTTGCAGTAACAACATTATGACCACTGAGAGATTAACTTAATCTCACTAACTATCTCTTCGCTGCTGTTAATGAACAGAATATATTGGGCAGCAACTAAACACTTTATCCTCAAAATTCATGCATTTTAATCGTATTTCTCTGTCTCTAAACTTTTCTAACATTCTTCACAATATGTATTTGTTAAAAATAATAATTTAAAAGAAGACTAATATGTCTCTGATGGCCTGGGGATCTGTGAACCTCGCCCACAGACAGTTGGAGATAGGCACCAGTATTGTATTTTTGCTCTTTCATATCTGGGCCATCATTTGGAAAACGCCCCATAGTGTAGTGCTTTAAGGCTGTGACCATTGCAGGGGACCTGTGTTTGAATGTAGGGTGAAAAACGTTGCCAAGATTGTAAGCAGGTTGTAATGACTCGCTGTGATGACCCCTAAATAAGGGAGCAGGGGAAAGGACACATGTGACACAGAATAAAAGACTAGGGTAGAGTACATAGACTTAGAATCCAGAGGTTCTGGGTTCGATCCCCCACTGCTCCCTGGGCGCCCAACAATGGCAGCCCACTGCTCCCCATTGGGATGGGTTAAATGCAGAAGGTTATTTTGTCCACTATGAGATCAATTAATTCTATTATTATTAATGGAGAAAATAAAACATTTGAAAGGGATTTTAACGGTATATTAGTAGTAGGTAGATTGTGTATTTTAAGAGTGTAGAGGTAAATTTAAAATGCTTGAAGGGCATCTTATCAGGGACTACTTATCTAAAGTGGATGTAAAACGTGGGAGTGGTAGTATTCCGCCTGCAAAATAAACAACCTAGTTCAATAAGAGGTAATAAATCAATATTCATGAATCTGTTGGTTGATTGATTGGTTGGTTAAAGCCAACCCATTCCTCTTATTCAAAACCTGCAAAAACCTGCAGTATGTATTAACACTTTTTCTTTTTTTTTTTTTTTTGCAGCCGCCTACCTCCTCCGTTTTTGTAGCACAAGTAGGGGAACCTCCACAGGTTTCCTAAGCCCACCAGGGTCCCCGCTACTGCCAGCAGAAACTCCAGCTTGTTCCCCCACTGGCCGCGGTCCAACAGCGGGGTCTTCTTTCCGGAGACGCTCTCCTGATTGGACCCGTCCACGCTGTTTCCTTTCACAAACTCTCTGGACATGTTGAAGAAAAGAAGGAGAGCGCTGTCAAAAGGGCCCCTGCGACTCAGTCTCATTTATACAAAGTGCGCCGCACTTGTTTCCAGACTCATTTATCATTTGGCACCGCTCAGAAACTGTGGTAATTTAACCTGAGGTGCCAAAGCTTATAGGATTACCAGGAGTTTCACTCCAATAATTTTTTTTTTTTTATATATAAAGCGTCACATTTTGAGGTTTAAAGCCGTAGAAAGTGTGTGAACACTTACCCCTCCATCTCTCTTAGCCCCCTCCCCACACAGAGCTGCTTCCAGGAAACCGATCAGTATTCTTCACAGCAAGGTGCAGGATATGCCCTCTTTCAAACCAGTATGAGCTCTAGGTTTTAGTTGCGGCTTCTGCAGGATCCTCTGGACTCTTCAGTTATCCAGAGAATTTGGCTCTGAAAGGGTTGGAAGTTATTTCACTTCCGCGCTGTACTTTTCCACTGTGTCAGGACCTTGAGTGAGTCAGATTAGAGCAGCTGCTGATCTAAACCCAGGCAACTGACCTGTAGCTGCTTCAGCACTCCCAGTACGACTCAATTTAGTTACATTCCAGTTTTTTAAGTATTATAAACAATGCAGCGGAAAAAAATAGAAACTTGTCCCATTTTAAATACCACCTATATTGAACTAATCTGGCTCTGAGTGAACATAGAGCGCACTTTACGCACAATAATTGGTTTTGCTTCTTCTGTCATTAAACTTTTGTTATTTAATTTCTGTGGGCAGTGATAGGTAGGTAGAATACCACAAAATTTTTCTTAAGTAAAAGTGTCTCTACTTTATCATATTTCAAATCAAGTTAAAGCAAAAACTAACTTTTAAAGAAACACAGTAAGAGTAGAAAAGTATGGGCTGTTCTAGACCAGGGCGTGATCTACAGGGGCCCTGGCCCCTGTTAGGGCCCCTGTATTAAAGACATAATACTCAAAGAAATTCTAATGATGATATGCGCTGGAACAGACATGGTTACTGATAGGTCCTTTGGATCTATTTCAATTTTTTTTTTTTACAAATTCTGTTTTACTAATACTTATTTAAAAACAATAAGGTGATAGCTTAGGATCCTCGTTTTAAGCTGCTAAATGTTTTTTTTACACAAATAAAAAAACGCTTAGTTCTAATTTTGATTTTATAGAAAACTGCAATTTTAACTTAAAATTAAGTCAAAAATATGTAAAATTCATAAAATTATGTATATATATTGACCTAATAAGGCATAGATTTTTAATTAAACCTAATTGAATAGAAATTTCACTTCATGCAGCTATCTTAATATATTTGAATCCCTTGCCCTGTTATTTATTTCATACTTTTCAGTGCCCCCATGAAATCAGGCTGGCCCCTCCTGGCCCCCTGGTACATTTGGTCTAGAACCGCCACTGGTTAAAAGGCTACTCAAGTAACTGATCTACTGACTACCCATGATCATAACAGCAGATTGAGCATTTTTGAGGTATAAAACTTCCAATATCAATACTTACAGTATTTAGAATAGGGCAAGTTACAGTATACTGTTCACTGTATTTTCACTCAACCTAAAAATGATGCAGCAGACTCAGCAGCTGGAAAATTACATTTAAACAATAGCAATGAGTTCAAAAACAAGAAGAAAATGTGTCTCTCAATGTTGAAAATTTATTTGGAACAAACTTCTTTTCATAAAGTGATGTTACTCACATTTGATGAGTAAGAACTGAGCCTGGTTCTGTTGGAGGTTTCTTCCTGTTAAAAGGTAGTTTTTCCTCTCCACTGTCGCTACAAGCATGCTTAGAGTAAGGGATTGCATCCGAGTCAATGAGTCGATGCAATCAACTGGTTTTCCTTAGATAGAAAATTTTGAATCAATTTGACTGTATGATCTGGTGAACTGTTTTCTTTCAAAAGGTTAGTCGTTTATCTAGTTGCAAAAGGATAATAATAATAAATATTTATTAAAATGGTTCTTGCAAAAATCACAATATTACCAGGTTTGTTGAACTGGCTTTTTATGCTTATGAAATTAAATCATCACTTAGGAAAAAAATAGAGACTCTTGCTTTTTTCCTCATGTAATAATTTTTTTCAATTTAGTTTAATATCACATCTTAAACAATAAAGTGTAACAAAAAAAACTACAAAATGAACTTTGGCAATGAAAAATGTGTGTACCATTGGCATTTCACGGTTGATTAAAATGTCTAAATTTCCATTTGCAAAAAGATTTATAAATAAATAAACAGCAAGGTGTTTGAATGCACAATATGCAGAGAAATTCACTGTTAATATCTATGTATTGCACGTGTTACCTGGCCCATAAGCAAATCATGTTGCATATCTAGCTTTGATTTAAAGTCCCTCAACAGTGCAATCTTCTTCAGCACTTACCATGAGCCCTTAACGTTTCTTTTTATTTTATTTTTTATCTATTCTAAGCACCACTAAAGGTAGCTCAATTACCACCAGTCATACTTGTGCCAAGGATTTTAGAACAATGGCTGTAAAGGTTCAGATTAGATTACATCTGTATCACCTTGAATTTTTCCTTTGACAGATATCCGGGGTTTTGTTTGTGTCTCTTTATAAATCATTTATATAAAGGGCATTCACATATTTAAATGTTTTTATATGACATGAGCTCCTCTTTTCAAGCTCATCCACAGTTTTATTTGTCCTTCTGCTGCCACATTACATTCAGATAATCCACTCTGTCAATAAAGTGATGCATATCTCGGCTTTTTTGTTTGGTCTACAGATAAGAATCTTTGATTGCTTCGTAAACTTTAGCATAGATTACCAGCAGTAAGAAGAATGACTCAATGCATTTTAAGACCATTTTCCCACGACAAAACATATTTTTAGACCTATGTTACATATTCATCCTTAGTTAATAAAACAGTTCAAGAAAAGGGTTAATTTTTTAAATTTCAGATACATTTTTACCCCTTTATTTTTAGCTTAATTTGGTTTATTTAGTTTTAAAATATTTTCACCTTGATCAATGCGTTGTTGCTTTGTCTCGTAAAAAATGAGCAGCTTTTTTAACTGGCCATTCTAGTGAGAAACTTGCCTGCAAACCCGAAGAACCCCAGAAGAACAGCATCCATGATTAAAAAAAAGTTACACTGGAGAGGAGATCATACCAAACCTAATCAGTAAAGTAAAAGTAGATGTTCCACCTGTTCAAGGTGGGCTGTCACATTGCATCGCCCACAAAATAACGTCACCGTCAAAACTCTGAAACATGTCTGCATAACATCCCTGAACAGCTGTCACCAAGTGATCTCCTCAGCTAACTGCTGCCAACAGGTGGGTCGACCAAAAATACAAGTTCACAGACATGCAGCTTTAATCAGACACACTAAACAGAATCATCTTTCTTAGACTGATATTCACAGTCCATCACCAAGTTTACATTGAGAGCATTTGTATTCTATCTATTATTTTCTAGCTAATTTCTAATATAACAACTGTGAATTCTGTTTTAATTCTCAGGAGTTCATGTCTTCAGATATTGTTATTAACTGGTTGAGTGCCTCTTAATGTTTCTGGATTGAATTGTCATCTTTATTTACTTTGAAAGTAACTTTATATTTTTAATATCCTTTTGAATTATTACATATGTAAATCCTGTGAAATAACTTGAACTCATCAAATGTTGAGACCAGTCTGGATTATTAGAAATTCTTGTTTATCTATCATGAATCTATTTAAACTGAGAATCTGATGCAGTCAATTGCTTGTTTTATCTGCATTGCATGTGACTGCAGACCAATCATATCTCCATAACAGTTAAAGCATCAGCCACTGATTTAAAACAAATTTAAAGAGAAAAATATAAACAAAAAATCATGAACTGTTGTTTGAACTTCATACACATGACTCTTAATACTCTCAATAGAAAAATTATGACATGCTCTAAGTATAAAATGATGTTTAGTCACAAACGTTATAAATGATTATATCGTCTAAATAGTTATCATTAAATATCTTTCAGTTCTACTCTGTTTTGCTTTTATTTAAGCACCTTAGATAAATATGAATGAGCTTTTTAAAGCGATCTGAACATTTATCTTTAAATTTGATGTTGTGTGTAATGTATTCAGGGTTTACACTGCCAGTTTCCAGAAAAACAGACCACTGACAAAGTATGAGAGCAGAGCTAAACAATGTAATAAATAATAAAAACACTCTCAATATTAGAAAGGTGGAAACGTTATAATCTAACATCATTAAGAGTTGGCTTATAGCAATAAAATATAGTTTTAAGTGTATTCAGCAAATGGGAATGGGACAGAATAAGAAAGTAGTTATCTCTATCAAACTTAGAAAATTAGAATACTTTTAGACGTTAAATAATTCATTAAGAAATCTTTATCTACTGATGTCTGTCTTCATCATCCTATCTTTGAAAAAATGATGTAACTACAGGTAAAAATAAAAATACAATCTAATTATTAATTAAACTAAATATATCAGAAACAAATTAGGGTAAAAACACCTTACCCCCTATGGGATGTGGATCTCCTTTTATTTGAGTAACTATCTGAATAATAGTTTATTTTAACATCTACCAGTAACTTGTCTGAATTCTTTTAATACCTCACAGATAAATAAGATTTTATTGCTTTGGATTGAATGCTCTCTGAGACACTGATCTAATTTATCTGATGCTGCACTTTCAATGTTGTGAAGTCAAGTTCTTAGAGAGTGTCCAGCCTGCAGGAAACTTAAGAAGTCTTAGTTACTTAATCCATAATCCTCCCAAAGCTAGAGAGATCAAATGATTAAATCATGGTAAATTGTTTACATTGTTATCAATGCTTTATCACACCCAAGGACTGCAAAGTGTTTTCCACTGCATTCAGTCATTCACCCAAACATCCACAAACTGATGGTGGCAAGCTACTTGGTAGCCACAGAAACACGGCTGTCATACACAGGCGCCCCTGGGCCCCCTGACCACCATCACTAGGCAATGCAGGTGGAATGTCTTTCCCAAGACAATGACAGAAACAGGGACAGGAACCAGCAACACTTTTGTGGGAGGACAAACTCCTTCAACCTACCACTGCCACTGTCACTGTCAGTCGAGCCCTTATGTTTATGTATAAGTCCACAACATATTGTAACCCCATTTCATTTTTAGTGGTCGAAAGCTCCTCCCGAAATCAAAAAAGTAAAATATTGTTTTGAAAATAATTTGATAAGGATAGTATTAGTATTGGTGTTAGTTTAAAGAGCATGATGGAATTTTGTAATGATACTGCAACCTGTGGCCAAAGCACAGAACTGCAGAACTCTTAATCTTGTCCTCGTGGCGTCCGCTCGTACTTTACAAGGTGTTTCTTTTTACTTTGGATAGCTTTGTGAATTATAAGGCTGTAATTGAAATGCTTTTTTAAAAGATAAATGGGAGAGATTGTAATAGCCCCAATTAATGTCTTAGGGAAGTCATATTTGAATGTCAAATCA